GGTAATGTTCATCCCATGCATTGTAAATTTTTAACTCTAACGATCGCCTGGTTCCCTTTTAAATTGACTAAATATTGAATTCGTAGTTGTACAAATTGATATTGCCCTTATTGGAACTAATCATGAACCGTATCTGTACTCTGTTGCTTCAAAACTGTTCAAACATATATACGAAAATTCAATAAAATGTCGGCCATTAAAATTTTGATTTCGCCCTAAGGGATATAACTCGAAATGGTCTTACTAAAAAATGAATTGCAGAACCGATATTAAATTACGGCGGGGCGTTATAAAATACAACGGAAAAGGGGCGTGGCGCCAATTTTTTTTAAAAAAAGGGCAGGGCGTAAAGAAAAAACAGCAGGGTGCCGTACCATGTCAAAACCTCCTGTAGAAAACACTATATATATTAATATCGTCATTTTATGAAGTTATGTATTCTAACATAAAACTCAAATCGTTTAACTTTTAACAATTTAGTTTTGTGCTGTACTAAAAAGATACGTTTACATCCCATATTTTGAAGTCTCTGTAAACATTAACAATTAAAGTAATCAGAAGCAATCTATGAATTTACATCAGATGTACAGTACCTTTTGTGTTGAATCCCAATGCGAACTTTTTGATATGAACTTTAGTTCTGTATCGAACACCACTGATGAGTCTCGTAAAGATGACCCCGCATAATAATTAATAACTTAACAATTATTTTATTTGATGTTTATAAAAATCGCCCTATAACTCAGTAAAAACAAACCTTCATGTTATAGACTAATACATATGTTAATCATCGTTTTTTCCTGTCTCAGAATGATTCTTTATGGATCGAACCAGTCAACGAAATGTTTCATCCTTTTTTTCACTTTCAATGTTGACATTGTTTTCCTGTTAATAGCTGAACACGCCTAGTACATGCGTAAACCATATCTAGCAAAGGGTTAAATTGAAGGTCATATAAATACGAATTCAATTGAGGTTAAATTATTGACTTAGAGGTCAATAATACATCAGCGATGTTTTTCAGCTTAATTTGACAAATTTGAGCCAAACTGACTGCTTATGACGAAATATTGTTTCGAAATTCCGCTTTTATTAATATTTGAAATGAAAAGAATTGTATATTAATTTTTTTTCTAAATCGTAGCTTATGCCCTTTTCACAATTTTAGCTGACAAAAAAAAACGGAGACAAAAGTACAGTCAGTTGCAATTAACTTTGTCTTTGGTTGTAAATGTGATTATAAGTATTTGGTTTTCTATTTACAGTTTAAGGTATTTTTGTCTTTCTTTCTGTCACTTTTGTGTTTTTGTCATTACGTTGTTTTTTTGTTTTTTTTTTATTCGACTTATGATGCTTATTTTCCCTTGGGTATCTATTTACACTTTTTTTAATAAGTTTGTGAAATCATATTATATCACATATCGAGTAATATTCCAATTACATTATATCTATTACTTAACACAACAATAGTATGTTGCCGAAATATCCCATTAACATGAAATTCTCATCAATAATATTGAAATCCATATGTTGGTGTTATTTAACTAACTCTAAATTAGGACATTTCTGTAATGCAATGCATGATAATTCGATTACAATACAACTTGTAAGTTCTTCAAACTGAAGATCACACCTAATTTAATAATGAAGTATGTTTAAAGTTCTGAATTCCATTGAATCCCACTTACTTTAACTGCAAACCATGCACTTAGTGTTGTAATCGTAAAATCAAATATCACTTAATACAAAAAATATATGTATCCAACTCTTTTAATTCAAGCTACTGAAGAATCCTATGTAGATGAAACGCGCGTCTGGCGTACAACATAATGTGGTATCTAAAATGATAGTTTATTGTTTTAATGTTGAATGTCCTCATATTGATACAAGGGTAAAATGTTTAACATAAGTATCGGTTTTAACTTGACTGCGTTCATATTTTATAAGAGGAAATTTATGTCGTCTAACTGACAAGATACGTGTACTTTAGACAGTTCGTTTGTTCTTTTTTAGAATAACGTTGTTGGTAATTTGCAGGGATCAATATTTTTTTTAATTCTATCTGTCATTATAAAAATAAGGAGATATGGTATGATTGCCAATGAGACAACTATCCACCAAAGTTCAAATGAAGGGGATGTTAGCAATTATAGGTAACCGTACGGCCTTCAACAAACATAAAAAACCCATAATGTATAGTCGGCTGTCAAAGGCCCGATATGACAAATATGAAACAATTCAATTGAGAATACTAACGGCCTAATCTATAAAAACAATTTACGAAAAAAATTAATATGACAGACATGAACCAACGACAACCACTGAACTACAGGCTCCTGATCTTAGACAGGCACATAAAGAATGTGGCAGGACTAAAAATGATGGTCATTGTCGTTAATCTTGATATTTTTCCCTTACAAGAGATAAGTGTTATTTTGTTGTATACAAGTTCAACATATCTGTTCTTTAGTCTAATTAGAAGAAGAGGCAGAACAAACTAAGGGGATACTACAACACAGGTTTTATAAAAATTACAAAGTTAAATTGTTGTGCCGAAAAAACAGACAACGGTCCATAAAAAAGTATTAACAGAAATACCGAACTCCAATGTATAATTCAAAAGTGATAAGTCTATAAAAACTGCCAAAATCAATCGTTAAAACTTACCAAAGGAACGAATGGAAAACATGTCATATTTCTTGTTTGGTACTGGCATTTTCCAAAGAAAATGGTAGGTTAAACCTGGTAGTATAGCTAGGCAATCCTCTAACTTATTTGAAAGTTGTTTATAGTTCCCTTATATTGACAAAATTATGTGACGACCCAAACAGACATAATGATTGAGTAACATGAAAGGTGCTGTAATAACCATGTCAAAATATCTTCTCTTTAACATGGTAAACATTTTGTTTTGAGATAAAAGACGGACACATTTCTGCGAAAACGTACAACCCCCACATTTCGTATGGCAAAGGTTGTTTACATTATATCATTGTATTCACTTTAAAAAAAAATGTCTTCGATGATATCTGTCTGTGCGTCATTAGAATTTCCTAATAGTTCCTTGTTCATTTTTATAGACTTATGTTAAATAATATATGTTTTCCAGTTAAGATATAAATGAAATTCTTAGAATTATATCTATTGTCTAGGACAGTATTTAAATGCATTCTGATCATCGGATAGCATTATACCAACCTATTTTCAATTGACAATACACATATATATAGTTTAGTAATTCTTCATTAAGGTATTTACATGGATAGGTGTTAATATGTATGAGTACTTATTTGGCTCAATCCTTTAAATTGGATATATAAAGAATAAATTTCGATATCAATCACGTTAAAAACTTTCCCTTATAAATATTCGGTTAATTAAATACAATTTGACAAATTGGCAAAACTAGACTTGTTTATCTGGTGATAAAATCTATATATAGTCTTCCCGTATGTTATAAAAATACCATGTTCATTCCTTCTGTTATCAACATTCCAACTTTTACCAAATTTAGATGACCACTTAATATTTTTGAAAGAAACATATTCTGAATTAACATTCAAAATTCGATCGTATCATTTTGATTTAATTCGTAAATAAGAGACATATGTGATTTGTAATCGTAGCAAAATATATCGGTTTTTAAGTGCTAAAAATGAAACAGAGAAGTTGCAAATATGAGTTGGTTTGCTGTTCATAGAACTATATAAACTATAGTTTTACAGTGTCTATCCATTTGTTAAAAGAAATGTAATACATTTACAATGATATATATATATATATATATATATATATATATATATAAACAACATTTTCCAAAAGACCAAATGAGTGAAAAGGTATATTTGAACAAAACGCATTTGACTAGCAGGTCGAACAACTGATGTTCTTAAACCCTGCTGACTGCCATTGTCGATAGCCAAATAAACGGATCACAAGATGTAACAAAATAGATCTTATTATTAATTTATTACCCAACAGAAAACAATAAACTTGCGGAAAAGATGGTATACCGCAAACAAAATGTGCAAAGGTTTTTGTACACCATATCCGGATTTCGACAATTAATGTCTCTTCAGTGATATTAGGAATCGGAACGGTACTTGGAAGGCCATATAATTTACCTCAATCAAGGGTAGACTCTTGAATTTTGAAGAGTCGAAATAGGATGAACGGATCATATAAACCCGAAGGCAAACATAATACAAGCCCAAACGAAAAAAAAATAAACAAGTCTAAATTGAAAACAACGTTCAAACCTATGATTGCGTTGGATAAAAACCGCAATTTTTATTCGTGTGCATGCAAAACAAATTTCTTGTTAGAGGGGTCTAAATACAGCACAAACAACATTTTCCAAAAGACCAAAAAAGTGAAAAAAGTATATTTTAACACAACGCTTTGACTAACAGGTCGAACAACAAGTGTTCCTAAACCCTGCTGACTGCCATTGGAGATTGCCAAATAAACGGATCACCGATGTAATAAATGGATCTTAATTATAAATTTAATACTAAACAGAAAACAATAAACTTGAGGTTGTTAAAGATGGTATACCGCAACAAAAGGTGCAAAGGTTTTTGTACACCATATCCGGATTTCGACAATTAATGTCTCTTCAGTGATGTTAGGAATCGAAACGGTATTTGGAAGGCCATATAATTTACCTCAATTTAGGATAGACTCTTGAATTTTGAGGAGTCGAAATAGGATGAATGGATCATGTAAACCCGAAGGCAAATATAATACAAGCCCAAACGAAAAATATATATATATACCAGTAGTACACATGCTTAGTCAACGAATGCTCGCAGTTTTTAAGCTCAATATATGATTATATACAGACAGGCCATGAACGTTAGATACTTATGTCGCTATACGTCTTATGAAACTTTTTCATATTCTGGTTTTATTAGGGGTATGTTTCAAAATTGTCTTTATGCCATTAATGTCTTCTCTGCATATATTTCAATTACAGTTCGATTTGTAATATATTTTAGACGTTATGTCGGTCAAGAGTAAGTCGACAAAAGTTGGAACTAACACTTAAACAATAAATGGAAAGACAAGTACGACTGTTAACGAAGAGGAGAAGTTTACGTATTCAGATAGATGGTCAGAGGTCAAAACTAGAGAATTGATAGTAAAAGGTCCCCCGCCATCTAAGGAACAAATAGTATGTTACGTTACCATATTCACAATACAGCTTCTGTGTCCACGCTTTGTTTACAAGAATCTGACAACGATCCGCTATAATTTTTGTTTTTAAGAACTTTGGGAACCTCTACTTTTGTCGTAATGATACCCAACTTTCAAAAGTTTGTAGGCAATATATCTCAAGGCTAGTCTAATCATTATTAGAACAGAAAGTAGAACAAAATGATGAAAGATCATTGAAAGCAAATCATGGAGAGGAAGTCTGTATTTTATTAAGATTCATTTTTAAATAGTCATATATATTCATTGAAATGCTCATTAATCATAATCGAACAAAGCATTCATGTTTGATAGAAAATATGCATTAAACTAGAAATAAGAATGAAAAGATAACAAGGGCGTGATAAAAAATATCGAAAATCCTATAAAAACTGACAGCATCATGACCAGAAAAAGACAAACATACAACAACAATAACAAAACACTACAGAGAAAACTAAAGATTGAGAATAAAACAACAAAGTCTGGGGGTTAACTCATATGCTTTTTAAAGGTAAATGAATATGAATATATGAAAATACAAGTGATGAGATGAGAAAGTTACCGATTTACAAGTCTGGAACATGTAGTTCAGTGATGGTCGTTGGTTTAATGTATGTCCTATATGTTTTTCGTAAATTATTTTATTATAAATTAGGTAGTTAGTTTTTTGAATTAAATTGTTTTATATTTGTCGTGTCGAAGCCTTTTGAAGACGACTTTACGCTATGGGGTTTTCTCATTGTTGGAGACCGTAAGGTTGCCTATATATGCTTACAGCCCCTTTATTTTAACTTTGGTGGATATTTGTCTCATTTACAATCATACCACATCTCCTTATTTTAATATTTATACAGTCAGGTAAAAAAAAAACGATCTAGATATAACATATGTTCTATGAAATGAAAATTAGATTTTATTTGTAATGCGTTTGAAGCGCTTTGCTGCTTTTATCATCATCAGAATCGGTAAAAATTTAAAACCAATGGGGTATGGATACCTGAAAACATGAGAAGCATTTTGGCAATACGAGGCCCAAAAAAAATAGTCACATTCATATAATGTCAACTTTGCAAGAGGGAGATAACAACAAAAAAAGCAAGTTTCCAACTGTCTAAATACGCACCTTGAACAGACTATCATAGAGTATTATCAACACATAATTCAAAAAATGGTGAACATTTTAAATTATAGCTATTGCTACCAACAAAGTTCCTGGATCAAAAGAATATAATTATTTTTATCTTGCGGGTTAAATGAGTTTTATAGCACTCAATAAATTAGATATTTAGCATTAAGTTTGAATGAGTGTAATACAAATTATCAATCGCAAAATTGCCGATTGGTGGATTGTGTTATGATATTTATTATATTTACTTTGATAAAATGCTTGTGATAATATATTTTGAAAGTTCCGCCGTCTTGAATTTGTGTTTGGAATTAATTTTATTGTTGGTGGTCGGTGGTTATTAATTTCAGTATTTGGTTTTCTTTGAAGTATGTTATTGTGTTGTGGGATATGCAACCAGATAAAAGAGATGAGTTCAGCTTCCAAATTGTGAACTTTACATTTTTATGTAGCAACATTCCAGCAGCGCCTGCATATAGAGTATATGGCCATTGTTATATTATAGTTCGTTTCTGTGTGTGTTACATTTTAATGTTGTGTTTTTGTTGTATCGTTGTTCTCCTCTTATATTTGATGCGTTTCCCTCAGTTTAAGTTTGTAACCCGGATTTGTTTTTATCTCTATCGATTTATGAGTTTCGAACAGCGGTATACTACTGTTGCCTAAATTGGTACCGTTAATGTTACTACAACCAATGGGTCGATACCTCTGTTCCTGGACTATTAGTCCCATAAGGTATCATCAGCACAGTAACCGGTACTTCAGTACTGGTATGAAAATACGGATACTGAATTATTTGATTAAATATGGCTATTAATTCAGGTGTTCTACAAAATAATTTCAATAACGAAATGGCCGAAAGAATAAATTGACGTAACACAAATCCATAAACATATTTGAGGAATCATACGACAAAATAGCAATAATAGAGAGCATAATATAATGCACGGGGAAATTGTTATTTATCTATTTTTACCACAGCAAGCATTCGTAAACTCCGACGATGTTAACGAGGATGCTTTGAAAAATCTAAGTTTGTAGTCTAAACCTCTGCAGCAAAAGAAATTTTGCCAATTAATAACCATCAAAATCCTTCACCAAATACATCATTAAAACATGGACAACCACCCGGTGAATATGCACAACAAGTGTTACACACACATTAAGATTAAGAGCTAAACATGGCGTACCAGCATTGACCTGCTTAGCTGACTTGTGTGCAATGGCTCAAAAGTGGGCTGATCATCTTCTTGCAAATAATTTGACTGGACATAGTACGGATGACCAAAATGTTGGAGCTGGTGAAAATATTGCAAATAGAATGGGAACAATGAAAGATTTAGACTATTCAGGTATAATAAAATATATTGTAAGAATCACTCACTTTTTGTGGACGCACTGCACTTATAGTGTTTTTGCCATGATTTTTCTTCAACATTATAATAGAAAAACAAAGGATATGGGGTATCCATTCATGACACAAAATCAGTACATGTCAAGCAAAAAAGTAAAATAACAAAAATAACAAACTCCAAGGAAAATTCAAAACGGAAAGTCCTTTATAAATATAATATATCAGACCACAGAAACACGTGTAATCTACAAGGAGAATCAGTAACCAAGTTAAAATCGATCTAAGAATGTAACTTTGGGATATCATTTGTAATTATTTGCAATTAACATTTTTGATTTAGCTAAAGATGCCTCAGAATCATGGTACAGTGAAATAAAAAATTATGGATCATACTTTGGAAAAGAGCCGCCAGATTCCGGGCGAGTACCTGGTACGTTACTTATCAATTCTAGATCCGAGAACTTATATATAAGGAATACATAACGTAAGATTCGCACGTGTTATGCTTTAAACGATGGAATATATGTAAAAGGACACATGTGGAGCAGGTTCTGCTTACTTTTCCGGATAATCCCCAGTTTTTTAGGGGGGGGGTTCGTGTTGGTCAGTCTTTAGTTTTCTATGTTGTTGTGTGTAACCTGTAATTTGCCTGTTTTTTTTTTTGTTTTTGCTTTTTTTTTCTTATTTAGTCCTGGCGTTGTCAGTTTATTTTCGACTTATGAATTCGAATGTTCCCTTGATATATCTCGCCTCTCTTTTATATGCAGTAGTCTTCCACGGCTTCATTTTTTGTCTGCCTACCTCATAAACGTTTTAAAGTAGGTTTTTAGTTTTTTTCGTTCTGAAATATGAATCTAACATTAACTAAAGAAAGACACAGATTGAAGTATTCAAAAGGAGTTAAATCTGGTATGTCAACATGGTGAACGAATCATGTTATGTATGCATCAACCGTCATGAGTAAAAAAGACAATACAGGATCATGAGGGTGACACAATGTCCAGACACGAACAGATATCGATGTTATGTTCTGTTTCACTTGAAAAAGTCTGTACTTGTATAAAATACGTACTTAGTTATGATCTTTTACAGAAAATGGAATGTATTTGTCGTTAAAGAGATTAGAAAAAGATTAATATAATCCATTTTATCTAGTTTCAATCTAGAAAATGACACCATTATCTTTGAATGTACGTTACGAAGTTTCAGTGTTAGCATCTTAACACAAGTTTAACTGTAAAATTATCTTGTTAATGTTAATCCATTTTTAATTCTCCAGCAAATGGTCACTTTACTCAAGTTGTATGGAAAGATACCAAGGAAATGGGAATAGGAAAAGCAAAGGGAAACGGTCGCGTCGTTGTTGTTGCTAATTATAGACCAGCGGGAAATTTTATTAGCAACTATTCACAAAATGTATTTCCTCCTCGTTAGCAACAGTTTAAGCAGTATTTATTATGTGGACGTTGTAGGTAGCGAACATGCACTATTTGTTTCTTTTTATAGTAATATTGTATATTGAATGTATAGTACTTTCGTTATATTATATACATTAAATTAAAGGATTTATGAAATAATTCATTGGGACAAACATGTCATATTAAATTTAAATGTTTTGGTTGTTACCAATTAGTTAACCTAAATTGAACTTTTGTTGTTAGGGTTGTAAAAATATCCTACCACTTCCTGTGTGTTTTAAGATGGTTTTCTGCTTTGTATCCATCGGTTAATTTAAGCCCTTTTCAACTGATATTTATAGTTTGTTTTTATGTAGTCCTGTATCACCACTGTACCAGGTTAGGGAAGGGTTGAGCGCTCACAAACATGTTTAACCCTGCCACAGTCTTTGTGTGCCTGTCCTAATTCAGGAGCCTGTAGATGAGTTGTTGGCGTTGGCTCATCTCTGTCATATTTATTTTCGTAAATTGTTTTGGCACAAATTAGGCCATTAATTTTCTCAATTGAATTGTTTCATATTTTTTAGTCTTTTATAGCCGACTACACGGTATCGGTTTTTCATTGTTGAAGGCCGTACGTTGCCTATAATAGCTTACATCCAATTCATTGGAACTTTGGTGGATAGTTGTCTTATTGTCAAGTATACCACATCGCCAAATTTCTATACAATTAAGAAATAGTAATACTGTATTTTAAGAGTTGTCGCCGTCAAGTTCCAAATTGTAGGACACTTAATGTCAGATTAGAAAAGTCCAAGCACTAACTACTTCAAAGTGTAGTTTTATGTGAGTGAAATACATTTCTTGAATGTATGATTCTCTTTGACTGTTGTTACGGCCAGAAAATCATATTTAAATTGTAGCCAACAAAAGACACATATCAATAATAATATTTAACAAAATTTATTATACACAAGTTTACAAGAAGTATTACACAAATAGAAATGTCAACTTAACTGTTAAATTATAAGTCCGATCCTTTTGTCTTTTCTTTATTCGGAATTCCTCCCTTCACTGTTGCGGGAATCCAAACAGAATATTATGTCCAATAAGTCGCAATCTAGTATGATGTAGTTAACGTAAATAAAAGTGTCATTCCTTTGTGTCAAATGAAATATCTCTTTGTCTCTTTAAAATTATCCCCATTTCCATTCTCAATTTCATACATGTTAAAAGGCCACACAAAACAAATTAGTCCAAGATGAATAAATATAATAATTACAATATCATAACACTCTATTTGTACTTTATCATGCACATACACCGTAAATCAAAACAGTAGCGTTTAAAAAAAAATGACACTGTTTTACTGGGTTGTTGCTTCTTTGTATGGACCAAGACAGTCGACTTCTGTATAAAACCATTTCCAGCTGAAGGTTCAGCAAAACACAAATCAATTAAGCGTAATATTCGAAACTAGACTTCTGTTGGTGAAACTATAGAAGTCTAGGAAAAAGTAACCAGTGATACATGGTTTCAAGGTACGATTGTTCTTTATAACTTATTCTGGTATCTTTCCGGAAGAAGTTTTTAAAATTACAGCAATAATTCTTTTAGATGTTGCATCCATGATAAAAATTACGGGCTTGGAAGTCGGCTCGAGGATAGAGTGTATGGAGTATATTGGCGGACAGTAAGTAAGATGTATAGGGGTTCGTTTGTTACTGTTGAGCTATTCGACTATTTGCAATTGGTGCGTGTTTTTTTTTTTTTTTTTTTTTTTTTTTTTTTGAGGATCATATCTGAAAAAAGAAACATGTTGGATGATTGTTAATGAGACAAATATCAAAATACCAAAAGGACACAACGATGAGACACATGTGAACAATTATAGACCATCCATAGCATACGATAACCTATAAAAATAGTAACTTTCAAGGTAATGCCTTCCAAGAACTAAACAAATTGTCTTACGATATATGGATCGCCTTGAAAAGCTTTTTACTTTGAATGTTCAATATATTTCATTTGAAATTAATTTTATAGATGTAGCATTTGATGGAGGTATTTTTTTCAAACATATATCTCACATCTTTTTACTTTTAATCAGATCTTTTCTGTTTTACACTAACAAAACACATTTACATCACAAATTTTAAAGTCTCTGTCAAAGTTATTTACGACTGAAGTAAAAAGGGGTAATCTTTTAATGTACATAACATGTACTTTATGGTATTAAACCCCAATGTTAACATCGTTATTGATTTGATCTTCTGCTTTCTGGGCACCACTGACAAATCTTTCAAAGATGAACCTAATAATTTTATCTTATGTATATAAACACCAACTCTTACAATTACTCCGTTAAATTGGAATTCGTAAAATTATGAATCAGAAACTGTGTTGTCTTCTCAATTAAATATGAGAAAACAAACCGCAGACAGAATGCAGGCGATGGAGTCAACCCTGGACTTTGGTTGTATGTGTGACGATCAGTCTGTATTTTACTTTTATGGTTGATGGTATTTTTGTGTGTCTTCCTGAATCCTAACGTTTTTAGTCGTGGCATTGTTATTTTTTCTTTTTCTAATAATTTTCAGTTTCCGTAAGGATGTTTGCTTCTCATGTTTTTGATTTTTGTCAGATATTCGGAATCGTCTGGTTTCATCCAAATTAACAAATTTGCCCACTAACCCCTACTTTTTTTTCCATAATTTTGTTACATGTAATTGTAAAAGCCATTATTGAAAATCTTATAAAATCTTTGGTTATTTTTTTCACAATTTTTGAAAGCAAAACGATATAAATATTAAATGTATCAAAAGTTAAGAGAGAACAATTTCTTGCCAACTTTTAAGTGGCTGATATCTTAAAAATATGGAGACGAGCCTTTGCATTTTTTCTGTTTTTTTTTTGTCCCGAAATATATCTGTTATTACTTTATAACAATCTTTTAACAAGCTTGTTATTTTGAAACAGAGTAGCGAACATCCTTGATCTTTCTTTTGACTCTTTTTTCAATAAGATTTGTGAAATCATATTATATCAGATATCTTCTAATATTCTAGCTATACTATACCTATTACTTAATTTAACAATTGTTCTGTGACAAAATATCTTGTGAACATGATATTTTCTTTCATGATGAAATCTATATATTCATGTTATTTAACCATCTCTTATTTATTATATTTTTATTATTGAATGCAAGCTTATTTGGTTACAATACAACTTTTAGTTACTTCGAACTGAAGATATAATACGCAATATATTAAAAGTGCGTATATTTAAAATTCTCAAGGCCATTGTTATCTGACGTGTGTAAATTGAACAAAGGGAAATCGTAAATTAGAATTCAGATTATATAAATTGTACGTGTCATTATTTCAACGTTAAATGTCCTAAGATTGATACAACATTAACGTATGAACAAATGCTATTGAAGTATTACTATTATATTACCATTAATTATATTTATTATATAAAAAAAAAACAAATGAATCCCAAAAACGACAGTGAGCGATTCGTCCGGGGAAGCTTGTAAACCTAAATAAAAGTTAATTTTTTAGTTATTTTAAGTACACAGTAAGAATGCATGTGTCTTTTGGTTGAGTGTGCATTTCCATGTATATTGAAAAGTTGTACCAGAGAGGGTGATTCTTTTGTTACCAGGTTTTCTATTGTACACTGGATGACAAAGTTTATTCTTGACGTCAGTGGAGATGGATCCAAGTATAATATCATTAAAGACAGTGCTCTAAAAATTTTAAAGACAACTGAGAACTTTCTATTTCCATAGCGATTACTTTTTACGGGGGCAAATTTATGTTTTTCGAACATAGGTTTATTTTTCTAAAATTCTTTGGTTCATTTTTACACAATAACGTCCTTATTTTAATGTACAGGTTTCAACATTGTTTTTTTTTACTAAATGTGTATGTCAATATTATTACTTCTTGGTAATTTACTACCTTACTAAAACCTGTAAAAATGATGAACAAATATTCCAAACTCTTATTTATTTATTTTTTAATCTCTTTTTAAGGTACTTTTTCCTCTTATAGTTGAAGTGTTTCCCTCGGTTTTGGTTTGTGACCCCGGATTTGTTTTTGCTCAATCGATTTATGACTATTGACCACGGGATACTACTGTTTCCTTTATTTAAAAAGGGTAAGTCTATAAAAACTGAAAAAATCAAACGTTATCAACCAACGGAAAGGGTGATAAACTTTATTAACCAAAGGAACGAATGCTTTTAAAGCAAGTTAAACCGCCCACTTATATAGCAGTTAATTGTTTATAGTTCCGTTATATTGACAGAATTCGGGGAGCAACCCAAACATACATTAGTGGCTAATGTGATAATAATTATGAACAAGCAGCCAAAACTGTGTAAACATACACCACAGACATACAACACACCTGAATGAAATTCAAACAAACATTTTAATAAATCTAACAAAAACGCCAACAAACAAGGTGTTGTAGTTGATTGTAAATTTGACAAAGAAACCAACAAAAACGTATTTGTAGGTGAAAGTAAATTGAAATAAACGCAGATAAAGTTTTAGTTATCACTTATGTTCAACTGCATTTTGTTATATACGATTTGAAACAGATCTATTTATTTTGTCTCATTTGAAAAAAAAAACCGGCAAAATAAACTACAGGAACAATACCTCCTAACACATATTTGATAAAAATGTAAGGCTAATAAATGACGTGACGAAAAACATAAATCGGTCAATAAATAACTGCAATAATCACAAAAGACTAATACGAAAGGCGCTTTTAAAAAACATTAAGGTAAAACCAAGTGCTCCTTAATATGTTTAGAGTTTAAAAAGAAAGTATTTCTGCGAATATCTAATACCCATACATTTCATTTAACAATAACTGTATACATTGTATAATGTTATTTACCTCGAAACTATAATTGTTTAATGATCTTTATATGTACTTCATTATAATTTCCAAATAGTTCCTCATGTTTTTCTTGTAATAAGTTTAAAAATATATTTTTTTCCAGATAAAATATACATAAAATTCTAAGAACTTTAATAGCTAAAGTTCTTTGAATTTTATGTGTATTTTATCTGGAAAAAAATATATTTTTAAACTTAAATGACGTGTTCAGGACAATATCTAAAGGCATTGTATATTATCGGATATCATTGTACAAAACAAATCTTAACTGGATGCACATATTAAGTGTTAGCTTTAATTCAAGGTATGTACATGGATAGGTGTTAATATTAATAAGAGACCTCGTTAAGCTCAATCAAATAAACTACATTAATTAAGGATACAAACAGTCGCATGATGTCGTTATTAAATGCGTTGCCTATGAATATGATTATATAAATTAAGCACATTATAAAAAACTACTGCTTGCAATGAAACATCCAATTTTTGTTTAGCAAACATTTACAACAATTTAAGTCCGTTTGATTGATTGATTGATTGGTGTGTAACTCTACATGTTCTTTCCGCGCTATCACGGTATTTTGTTATGGAAGAGGCGGGAGTACCCGGAGAGAACCACCTGTTCATGCTGTTGTAGAAGGAAAACTGGTAATCCTAGTCAATTAAGTTGGAGTCGAACGCAGCTGACACGTTCGGGATTCTAACTTACAATATCAGTGTTGACAGGCTTAAGATACAGTAATTGGACACCAAGGTTAGGTTCGTTTGAAATATTTTGACAAACTGTGTTAAAAAAAAAAATTGATTTGTAATTATCAAAACAATTATCATGAATTTCCTTAAACTTCCTGTGTTCCCACCATTCAAGCAGGTTAACACAATATAAACACATTACTTTGGAATAATTAATGTCCGTCTGAAAACTTTTTTGCATTTTTTAATCTTGAAGGATCTTTCAAAGAAAATACAACACACAAAATGTCGATTGTTGCTACAAAATGGAGCAGCAAATCCCGCTCAGTTAATGATGACTGGACGACAATTGTAACAGTTCAGGAGACTTTTGAAAATCCTGATGGAAGTACTGATATAAAGACCAGGGAAATTGAAATGGAAGGAAACCCGGACAAAGAAGCAATAGTAAGATATTCAATACCAAAGGGCACTTATTAACATTGTTTTACCCAGTCTTTAGTCTTCTATGTTTGTTTTTGTAAATTGTTATTTGTCTTTTGGTCTTTTTCAGTTTTTGCAACGGCGTTGTCAGTTTATTTTCAACTTAGGAGTTTGAATGTACCTTATGTATCTTTCGCCTCTCTCTGTTAAATTATTTGAATCTGAAATAAATTACATTCGTTTGATGTGTTTGAGCTTTTAGTTTTGCCATTCGATGAGAGACTTTCCGTTTTGAATTTTCCTTTGAGTTCGGTATTTTTTTTTTTATTTTTTATTTTTTCATTCTTTCATATAATTGTTTATATAATTTCTGATCTCCCTTTTGTCGTTTTATTCTGATTGCAGTTGCAAAAATAAAAAAATTATACACAACTGTCATTGTCATATCGGGATTGGCTTGTTTGACGTTTATCAATTACTTTTACTGGTTTTTCTAGTTGCTTTAGTAATAATCGTCTCTTGTATGTCCATCTGATTTAGTCAGTTTTTGTGGTCTTCCATTTTTTAGATTTACCTTGGTGTTCGGTATTTTTTGTTATACTTTTTTATGTGTGGTTTTCTGAGGACTTGTCATCGCTATTTTGTTATTCCTATTTTTCTTTATCCTCGACGCACGGTTTATGTGTTTCACCTAGGAATCTTTTCTTTAAATTAGTAAAATGAAAGCAAGGATTTATTTACAAACGATATTACATTATCAATGAACCTTTGCTAGTTTGGTATTATGTTAGGATGGGTAAAAATCCTGATATTTTACGAATTAGTTTTCCATAGAAAGCTAGGAATTTATAGATTTGCAGCAGCATTATAAGCTATATACCTGACCGTTAATTGCAATATAAGGACTTTTGACATATATTTTACAAGATGCTTCTAACATGTCTAAATACATCTACGGTTCTATTCCCACAATAGAGGCACTGTAATATACTGGAATTTCCCATTATATGTACGCCTATCTTATTGGTTCGATTTTTCTAGTTCTTCTGACATGTTTTATTTATCTATTAAAACAGAAAATTCGTATTTCCTTCTTTTTCTTTACTTTTAAAATCAATATGAGGAACGGATCGTGTGTGTGTGTGTGTGTGTGTGTGTGTGTATGTGTGTTCTTTCTTTTGCATTTAGTAAAATATAAACCAATAAAAAATGTGTATTTTGTACATTTACATATTTATATCAAACCAGAATGTTCGGGTTGAATCCACTCAAGAATTACAAGAGCCTTCCCTTATTAATCAGTCACCAGAAGAATTTATTAGAGAAGCAGTTGCAGAACATAACGCACTACGGCAAAGACATGGAGTACCGCCTCTGAGTATTGCACAAGATTTGTGTGACGTTGCTCAGAAATGGGCAAATTATTTGATAGATAACAACAAACGTGGACACAGCTCGAACGGATTTGGAGAAAACTTAGCTGAAAAGACAGGGAATTCTCCTAATTTAGATTACGCAGGTTATTAAATAAACATAATTAAAAATCGGTAAACTAATTTTAAAATAAACAGTTCAGTCATTAACAACCGTACCACGTCTGTTATTTTACACTTCAATCTATTACACTGTATTACATCATAGATAAATAGTTTTTGCTGGTTATCAAATGCAAATTAAATCATACCTTGTAAGTTACAATACTATTGAAGGAAGTTTGCTACTCAGTTTCAAAATAACAAGCTTTTCATATCACTAATATATATAGATAGGGGATTAATAAAGGAACCAAAAGAGCGAAAAAAAATATAGGTCCGTGTGCTTGTTTTCGAGATATTAGCCATTGAAATTTTGGCGGGAACATGTTCTCTCTTGATTTTTCATAGCTTTATCATTGACAAGTTTAAGTTCTTAAAAATTATAAAAAAATAACAAAGATTTTATAAAACTTTTACAGATGGCTTATAATTATATATGTAAAAGATTTATAAAAAGAAAAATGGGGGTTAGTGGGCATTCAAATGGATAAAACCAGAGGATTCCGAAAATCTGACAAAAATTCCAAAACATGACAAGCGAACATCCTTAAGCAATGGATTGATTACATTTGGCCATAAACAACATTAAACCTATCGCATCCACATTAACACTGTTGAATTAAGAGGTTTTGTTAAGAACACAATTAACCCGTTTATTTTAAGAAACCATATGATATTCAAAACTGCTTGATATCATTACAACGGGATATGGTATATATCGAATTATACATGTTATATGGTAAATTATACAGCAAATCATGACCAAGCACCAAGCACAAAAGGTGACACTCAAGTAGTTTATTACGTCACAGTTTATGGGATCATTTATACATATTTTGTCGGCTCCTTTCGATCAGCTGCTGTTCATTAATTACATTATTGCCACATTCGTAGTGATAAATCAAGTCGATAATAGTTTAAAGATGGTCAAATCTCGTAAATGGAAGTAACAAACAAAAACTGAGAGAATCGCATTAACTCAAAAAAGAGTGAAACCGTGTGAATCCACAGGGTAGACATCTCTTGCTTCGTTTGATAAGTCTGAATTTGGTAAGTTATGATTGACTGATGCGCACGACATTTGTTCTTGGTATTGTCCTCGTTAGGTTTGCCCTAAACCATCGTTTTGGAAAAGAAACAAAATACAAAACGTTAAAGAGTTTAATATCAAAAGGTTTAAATATTGCAGCCATAAAACCGTGGAATGTCATTTTCTTAAGAAATTGTAACCTCGTTTCTTTTACAATTGAATAGTTTGTAAACTTGTCAATGGCACACAAAATGTATCCTTTGATTCATGTAAATACAAAAAAAAATGGTCTCTTGATGTATAATTTTCGGGAGAATGATAATCCACCATCTGTGTCATCAGCATGATACATTCTGGAAGAACCATCATCACGTTAAACACTAGATAAAATATATTCCTATACATACGGTCCAAATTTTCAATAAACATGTATATAAACGTTTTATATGAAAAAATTAAAAGTTTTTGTATACAAAATCTAATATTTGCTTTTAAGACCTTTTTAACATCAAAGACATTTTGAAAGTGGTGCTCATTTAGTCTTAATGTATTGGATCGGCTTAGAGGGTTAGAGGTAGAGTTACATAATTAATCGAAGGCTCTTTTAAATAGAAATTTCATTTATTGTTAATCTGCTGTTTTGCTTTTAAAAATTTTAACGAATCTTCAAATAATTCATTATAAGAATAAAAAAACATTTATCATACGATGATGTATGTAACGATTCGATTCTGCAAATATCCCATTTTTTTAAAAGTAATAAACAAAGTGCATAAACACAACACATTTAACTTCCATTAAGTTATCTTATTACCTGAAAAAAATTAAATGTATAAAATTGTTAAGTTTGTTTCTCTCTGTTGTTTTCTCAATACAATACATATGCCTGATATGTATACAGTTACTTAGTTAATTGACTTTCCGATTTTTAATTTTTTTTTACATAAGATTTTAAAATATTTTTCCTAATCTTTTATCAGTTTTTATTGTTTTCTTTCGTTTTTGTTTTTTTGTTGTTTTGTTTGTTTGTTGTTTTTTGAGTTATTTTTATTTTTTTGTTCTTTTTCAAGATTTTTGACAGATATTAGAAAAGTATTTATTGACAGATATAGATTATAGTCCCTCAAAATCTTACTGTACGTGTTACATATCATGTCGATATACATATCAACTAAGAACTTGAGATGAAGAACAGCTTAAGAAGAACGGTTCCTTTGCCTTTTGAGTGGTGTTGCTGTCCATGTACTGAATTTTTGTACCCCATATCCTTTGTTTTTCTATTTCAATATCATGTCCTTACTTTAATAGATTTCAGAGAATTCAATTGTTTTTACGACGATACTTGAACGGTATATATATATTTATATATATACAAGTCTAAATTGAAAACAACGTTCAAACCTATGATTGCGTTGGATAAAAACCGCAATTTTTATACGTGTGCATGCAAAACAAATTTCTTGATAGAGGGGTCTAAATACAGCACAAACAACATTTTCCAAAAGACCAAAAAAAAAAAGAAAAAGTATGTTTTAACAAAACGCATTTGACTAACAGGTCGAACAACAGATGTTCCTAAACCCTGCTGACTGCCATTGGCGATTGGCAAATAAAATTGAGAATGGAAATGGGGAATGTGAGACAACAACCCGACCATAGAGCAGACAACAGTAGAAGGCCATCAACGGGAACGAATGGATCTTTTAAAATTATTAATTTAATACCAAACAGAAAACAATAAACTTGCGGAAAAGATGGTATACCGCAAACAAAAGGTGCAAAAATTAGTACACCATATCCGGATTTCGACAATTAATGTCTCTTCAGTGATGTTAGGGATCGAAACGGTATTTGGAAGGCCATATAATTTACCTCAGTTTAGGATAGACTCTTGAATTTTGAAAAGTCGAAATATTAGAAATAGGATGAACGGATCATATAAACCCGAAGAAAATATAATATAAGCCCAAACGAAAAAATATTAACAAGTCTAAATTGAAAACAACGTTCAAACCTAAGATTGCGTTGGATAAAAACCGCAATTTTTATACGTGTGCATGCAAAACAAATTTCTTGATAGAGGGTTCTAAATACAGCACAATCAACATTTTCCAAAAGACCAAAAAAGTGAAAAAGTATATTTTAACAAAACGCATTTGACTAACAGGTCGAACAACAGATGTTCTTAAACCCTGCTGACTGCCATTTGCGATTGCCAAATAAACGGATCACAAGATGTTACAAAATGGATCTTTTAAAATTAGCAATTTAATACCAAACAGAAAACAATAAACTTGCGGAAAAGATGGTATACCGCAAACAAAAGGTGCAAAAAAAATGTATATATATATATATATATATATACATGTATAGATTCCACCACTGTATTCAAGATTTACCTGTCGAGGATGGATACATATCGTATTGTGTTATCCAATTACAAAAATTTACACATTTGTAATCCATAATATATCATTAATAAATTGTAATATATCGATGTTAACGATATAACTATTTTATTACATTTCAAACATTATAAATTATGTTGACACCATATCGTGCACACTAAAATGCAAGTAATGTAAACACGATATTGATTACATCGCGATGTTAACGATGTCAACGATGTAAACAGTATATAAGAGTTGTTACAATGTAAACGATGTTGACAATATCTTGTTAACATTGTTGATATTGTGATGTAAACGATGTAAACACGATATCTTTACAACATTGTATACATCGCGATGTTAACGATGTCAACGATGTAAACAGTATATAGGAGTTCATACAATGTAAACTATGTTGACACGATATCGTGTTAACATTGTAAATATCGCGATGTCGACAATTTTGTTTTAACATTGTGCACTGGACATGGATGGAAAATTTAGAGGTAAGCAACAAAATTTGACGTCATAATTGGATTTTAAACAATGAAGAACTGAGATCATACAAACAAGACGTTGATTAAAAAAAATAATCAACAGGTCAGGAAGACGATAAATCGGCTAGGAATTGTAGAAATTTATATATAGATATAAAACATTATATTGCCATATCAATATCCCAACTGTATCAACTGGAGACACACAATATAATTCTAAGAGCTTTGCTCTAGGGATTACGTTGATTCAGAATTGATACGGTGTGTGATATTTGAAAGAATATCTAATACACTTTAGTACATACTTCAAACATTTGGTTATTTGCTTCTATGGTTTGATAATGGCTGTACAACCAAAAATGATATCTATATAGTATTCCAATTGATTGTATTACACAAACAATCTATTTGAATGTATTACTGAGTAGATATTAACATGTTGTATAAATTGGATGTTCTCCCCATTACTATACCCATGGCTCTAACGTGGTGTTCGTGAAAGAAGAGCAATGTCCTGTCTCGTTTATTTATTTATCGTGTTGCTTTGTTTCAATGTTCAAGTTTTTCAATTTCAGGTAAGGCAGCTACCAATTCTTGGTACAGTGAAATAAAGAATTACCAACAGTTCTTTGGAACAGAGCCACCATCGTTTGAAGAAATGGGAGGTTTGTGACGATATAGAACACAAAACTATTAAAGTAACGAATATCATAGACGTTATAAATATATTCGACGTCTGAGTGTGCCTATATACATACCCTGAAAATAGATTGAAGACTAGCATTTTTAAAACATGTAAAACCTCAAAATGATAACGAAAAGACACAAAAAGAACATAACTTATTATAACCAAGCGTACTTGGAAGCATACAGTGAAGATATCAGGGACGAAATTTAATTAAAGGTATGTTTCAACCAAATAGGGAATTGAATTGCACAACTGTTTATGAATACATGTATTTTTTCCACCGAGTAAATAGTGTATTCTCTTCTGATTTTTTCTAGGCAAAATGTATGGTCATTTCACTCAAGTTGTATGGAAAGGTTCACAGGAAATTGGAATTGGAAAGGCCAAAAAGAACGGCAGGGTTGTCATAGTAGCCAACTATAGACCGGCAGGAAATCTTATTGGCACATTTGCGAAAAATGTTTTTCCACCAAATCAATCAGTTCTACCCGGCAGTGTTGAAAGCACAACCAATGGTACCCAACCCAGCAGTGTTGAAAGCACAAACAATGGTACCCAACCCGGCAGTGTTGAAAGCACAACCAATGGTAACCTACCCGGCAGTGTTGAAAGCACAACCAATGGTACATCTAATAGTACAAAAAATGACACAAGCAATGAGTCAGATTCATCGGATGCTCATTCCGGTAAATAATTCAAATCAATTAGGAAACATGGGTTTTGTGTGTAGAACAATGAAACAGTAACTGAATGACGCAAATTACCAAATGACATTAAAAGGTCAAACATATTCAGTGATAGTCAAATTGATAACAATGTTTCAACTTCCTAATTCCCCTGTTCAGAGAAATTAAAAAAAAACACTTTTTGAAATAGACTTATGAATTAAAAAACGAATCTTTCACAAGACATATATTTTCTAAAATATGATGACAGAGAATTCCAGTGCGATTTTGTCGTTTTCAACTCTAAAATCTGAATGTACTTTCATTTTTTCTTGTCGTAGTTGTCCACTTGTCACCATGGTTAAGAATAAACGCCTTTTTGGTAAATGTTTTTTTATTTTGTTTTACTGCATTTGACAAAATTTAAAATCATGGTTGTTCGTATCTATACACCATAATAAGTCAAATACGTATAGATTATTTGGTTCTCTTCACCTTGATATCATAAAATATCACCCGCGAGTCACAATGTAAACTGTTTTGCCGAGTGAGTACAGAGAACAAGCAAAGAAGCTTCATATTGTGTCGAGTCGCTGATATTTCACAATATTTATACGTAGAAAACTTGGAAATCTGTTTATCGTTCTATTACCAGTCTTTTCCTACATTCTTAGATATTTCTACTCGTAACAAATCACAAAGAAGAAAACAATTGTATAAGCTTGTTAGCATCTCCTCGCACATTGTGATGTCACTAATAACTTCCCTTTAGACACTGTAACATCGTTGATAATGTGTATTCACGTTTCAAACCGTGATACGAGAATTACAAAGCGACTTAGCAGGGTGGTATAGGCGAGGTGAAGGACGATAATGATGGTTACACGATCAGTAACTTATAATAAAATTTAAACTTCATAAACATTAACCTGCTGAAATATCAAACATAAACCTTGAAAACTAAATTGTGTTTCACATATTACTTTGACAATCTTGTATTTTCAATGACAACCATTCTTTATACACCTCGTTTTTTCAATGAAGAGTAAAATACGCAATGATACATTGGTGACATTCTGTTGATTACGTCACTGTCCATTGCCAAGCCTCACACATTTTCAAAATCTTACTTCTTGTTCTCATCTTTTGAAACTTTTTATTACTACGTGTATGTTTTTTTTTAAATTGCATCAATGAAGTTGATGCCTCGTTCATATATAGTTCAGCTGCCTTTATATTTGTTAAATATTTTCAGTCAACATGTCGGTCAAGAGTAAGTCGACAAAAGTGAGAACAAACACTCAGAAGGTAAATGGTAACACAAGTACAACTGTTAACGTAGAGGAGACGTTCACGTATTCCGATGGAAGCACACAGGTTAAAACTAGAGAATTGGTATTTGATGGTCCCCCACCATCTAAGGAACAGATAGTATGTTACTTTACCTTATCTATCATTACTTTATTGCAATCTTCATTAATGATAATCTTAAAATCTAGTTTAGTTTATAAATAATATTAGTTATATACGAAACATGAAGATGAGAGAAAAAATATAAGCGAAAGATACCAAAAGACTAACAAGTCGAAAACAAACTGACAATAACATGGCAAAAACAAAAAACAATCAAAAGACAAATAACAGTATACATAAAAAATTAAAAACTGAGCAACACGAACCCCACCAAAAACGGGGTGCTTTCAGGTTCACCGGAAAGATAAGCAGAGCCTGGTGGCATGTTGCAATTATCGTGTTGATAATGTGAGTACAAATCCGCTAATATGTCTAATTTGACATGACACATTCGAGGAGAAGATGACGGGATTGTGGTTATGACAGTTGAAACATATATGTCGTCATCTGTTAAACAGATATTCCATAAAGGTCAACCAACTTGTGATGGTGTTCGTAAAATTTTCGAAGGGATAATTTCGACTCTATCTATTACAACACTGGATCAAATCGTATCAACTGGGAGATATATACTACATATGCAGGTGCTGCTGGAATGTTACTACATAGAAATGAAAAGTTCATAAATACGAAGTTAACACCATCTTTGTTGTCGAAACACAAAGAGATCAATGCAACAAATCATAATTGACAACATTATGGTCAAAGGAAAAACAACGAAAACATAAACAAGAAACGAGAAGGTACTAAGGGCGAAAACAGAAACCAGTTTGTCCAAATAAAACTGACAATCCCATGACTAAAAAGAAAATATTTACAAAAGAACACTACAAAGAAACTTCAGTATGTGAAAATTGAGCAACACGAATCCCTCTAAAATCGAGAGTGATTTTTTGTGCTGCGGAAAGGTAAAATTATTCATACATATATAATAGAAAAGAAAAACGGGTTACCAGATGAGCATGATGAGGCAGTAACAAAATAACAAGACAAAATCATTTAGATATCATCATTTGCTCTCCAAAAATAAACATTATAATATCACTTTTGGATTATAATTCGGTGAATACAAAGCAGGTATATGAATTGGATTATCATATTAAATTTAGAAATTCACGGCTTTTATTTTCGTTTTCCATGAATTAAACATTTTTAGTCTTACACAAATTTAATATGTATTTAAAAAACAATGTGCAGCGTTGGATGTTTATTTACTTTGTTAAGTGTTTTTTACAAATCTTGTTTCGTTTAGGTTTGGTGGATATAGTGTTAGTTTTTTTATATATCTATAACCAGTTTTGATTTTATGTACGAAATCGACGTAGTGTTCATGTTGGGTTTTGTTTGGTCAATACAATTATTGTTTTATTAATGTACAATCATTCCATGTGGTGTGTTGATGATAGAAAATGCTGTTTGTTTTAAGATTGTGTCATAGTATGCCTCTTAGTTTCAATTTTATTTTCAACTTAGATTTTCATGATGCGTTGTTGATTGAACTTCTTTGAATTTTGTCGAACAAATCCTGATTCATTTAGAGACCCTTAGGTACAATGTCACATTTATTTTTTTTTTTTTTTGTAATATCCTTACTGACCATCTGCTAACATCGCAATCGGAAGTAATAATATCAATCTGTACCAGATGCAATGTTTGTGACTTTTTTTATGCGTTCCTCCGAAAAATCAGAATTGATAATGAAGTGAGAATAACAAAATGCACTGTTCATGCTAGCATCATGACATACGTCATATGATAAGTTAATTTGGGAGTAAAAACATAAAAACAAATCCTCATTTGCTTTACAAATAGGCGAATGGTACAGTTATATTGTTTACAGCCTACACATCAACTGTAGAAACTGATGCAAGTGTTGTTTAACTAAATATTAATATTAATGGACACAAATATAATAGCAAACCGTATTCAACACTTACTAAAGCAAGCTTATTCTCAAATGGACGTACACGCTTCCATCTACCTCCTTCATTCAGCATAGGATCATGGTGTTATTGACAAAAGTCAAGAAATTTAATTAAAATACCAAAACTGATGACGCAACCCTACTTGTTTGGATCTACACCATGTCATACTGTTATCACACGCAATAAACATTATATATTTTCCCTGTCCATATCCGAAAATAGTAATGGTGATAAATGAACATAATAAATGCAAAAAATTGTCGATGATTGGTATTTGATCTATCTGACGTCTGGGAAATTTTATAAATGAGAGTGCAGAACATTTCCTTTTTAAGGTAATATAGTTATTAAATTTTAATTGAACGATATAATTTCTGGATAGGCATATTGGTTAGAGAAAGGCGTTGGGAAACACGGGGGTTGCGTTCATGAAACTGGTTTGAACCCAACACATGTTGTGCTGTTTGTCTTTGTTTATATGTATGGTCCTTTTTGGGATGTCAGTTGTTGCTGACAATTTCCTGGGTATAAAGATAGGCTATATGAGAAATAAATACGCCATAACTGAAATACTAAAAGAGCATTCACCTATGCACGGAAAAACTGAATCTATATATTTTTATAACAGCAAGCTTTCGTGAACTCCAGTGAAGTTGATGGGGATGCTTTTAAAAAGCTGAGTCTCTCTTCGAAATCTACTGAATCAAATGAGACTCTGCCAACTAATAGTCATCAAAAACCTCCACCCAATACCATATCAACACATGAACAACCACCCGGTTACTATGCAGAACAAGCATTAAATGCACATAATGGATTACGGGCTAAACATGGAGTACCAGCATTGACCTGTGCAGCCGACTTATGTGCAATGGCTCAAAAATGGGCGGATCATCTTTTCACGAATAACCTTACTGAACACAGTCCGAACGACCACAGGCCTGGAACTGGCGAAAACATTGCTTACTTAATGGGAACAATGGCAGATCTTGATTATCCAGGTATCATCATTTGAAAATTTCTTAAAATGTAACAATCTTTCGATATTTAGCATTCTAATATTGAATTCTGAGTACATTAATGTTTAAACAAATCTGTACTGCGTATGCAAAAGTGAAAACATTTTGGACCTTGCGTTCCATATTTTTGCCGTCTGTTATATTGATGAGGTAAGTTGTCATCCTGTTAGTGACTACCCGTTCAAGTTTTTAAACTGTTTTTAATACTTTTACAACGTTTGGACTACACAGGTAATAAGGCTTGCTTTGCACGAAAGTGAAACCAGATAAAAAATGCCAGACTGAAGCAAAGTCATATTATCTGGTCTAGATATAGGTTTTGTCAGTTGTTTTTTAAATGATGGTCTATTCTCTACTATATTTTCTGGCTTTCCTTTTTATGTATCAGGATCTTTTCAATTTGGTGTTTAGTTATAGAGGTGTACAATGATTTATATGAAAATAAAAAGATGTGGTATGATTGCCAATGAGACAAGACTCCACAAGAAACCAAAGGACGAGTATGTTAACAACTATAGGTCACTTTACGGCATTCAACAATCAGCAAACCCCCTACCGCATATAAAAGCTTTAAAAGACCACGAAATGACAAATATAGAACCAATTCAAACGAGAAAAGTATCAGCCTAATTCATGTACAAACAATAAAAGAAAAAAATATGATATACAGCAACAAACGACAACCACTGAATTACAGGCTCCTGACTTGAAATAGACACATACAGAATGTGGCGGGATTAAACATGTCTGCCGGTGCCAAATCTCTCCCTAACCTTTGATAGTGGTTTAACAGTACAACATCAAAATAAACTATTAATATTAGTTTAAAAGTGCTTAACTCACTGGATCAATACTAAGCAAAAATTAAACAAGAAGACAACAGACGCAAAGTGCAGATCTGAGAGAACTCGCAGTTTCTGAAAATTAGTTAACACCAATAACAACTAAAACAAATAATGTATCTAAAATATCAATCAGTATATATAGTTTAAAGATACCACTAAAGTTCCAGTATCTAGTAAGCATGCAGCTTTCATTGGGTTATTTTTTTTTTTGCCTGTGTTTTCAATTGTTATAAGGCTGTTTCTAGACTGGTTCCCTGTCCTTTATCTGTTTAGCTCTGATTTCAGCCTAAGCTGTTTCAATGAGAACCAGTAGCTATTTGAAAGTTGATATTGACTAAGAATAAGAACATACAGTTCTTTTTGTAAAAATGTGTTATTAATTTTAATTTAGCTGAAGATGCTACAGAATCCTGGTACAGTGAAATAAAGAATTACGGACCATTCTATGGGAAAGAACCGCCACCGTTTGGTCAGGTATCCGGTGCGTAGCTTATTAATTATAGATATCAAAAAAGAAATCTTACTTGAGTAATAATTCCTTCATGTCATACTTTATGATCATTTTAAAATAGGTAAGCATTATATTTGTCGATATTTTACAACGAGCGTAGTATATCAAGTATAGATCTGAAGAATAAATATAACCTAGTTATGAATATGTTATGCACAACATAAGATTTGGACCTATATTCCTTTTAATAATAATCATTGATGAATTTGTCAAATTGAATTATTATCCGTTTATACATGTACATAATTTACTTTTATTTGAGCGTCCTGATGAAGGTAACTCTAGAAAAACCCTTCGGACGCATGCAATTTATAAAGTGTTGTTTTTATATTTTTACCAGAGAAACTTTCGACTTAACATCATTCATAAGCAAAAAAAAATCCCAATCATCCAATTAAATGTATTATTAGTCTGATGCGGGTCGTATATGTCCAATGCGTACGTAACTTACGTTGCTTTCCTGGATGACGATGATGGTGGTGATGATTGAAAAGTGTATAACGCCCAGTGTCAAATAAGACAAACACATGACCACGATAACATGTTAATTTGATATAAGTCTGTACCCTCATTTGTACAAGACAGACACGCTGAACCGTTTTTTTCAACCTGCTGTGTCATAAGGTAAAACAAAACATTGAAAGACTTATCAATTCATTCGGAAACACTTGTATAGTTGTGAGCCGACCAGAATTTTATTTTTTGCTCTTGAGGGCCGAGTGTTAAGCAGAAAATCAGTCAAAACCAATGATTCTATTTTCCAAAACGTTTTCAATTAATTTTTTAGTTTCTTTTCCCACTTATATTTGCCACTGATTATTTCACAAACAACAACCAACCTAGAATCCAACATACGGTTGGTACTTTATTAACGCCAAAGAAGGAAACAGGTACATTTCTTTTGAAATCATTGAAAGCGTTGCAAAATGTTAGATCAAGAAGTCATTCTATTTATTTTATTCTGATAGTCTCGACTAATCAAATATCAAGTAAATCCAGAAAAGCGCTTCGGAAGCAAACATTTATAAATTGTATATTTTATTAAGTCTTTCTCAGAAAATAGTACTACTTAGTAGATAATATACTGGTCGTTAATAGGATTAAGATAATATCTAGTTTTCAGCCTCCTCATTTTAAAGGTCTGATACAAGGTTTCAAAAGAAGCGGATTAATATCATTTGACTCTGAAAGTATTTTATTTCATTTTATTTATTCTTCAGCATATGGTCATTTTACTCAAATTGTATGGAAGGATACCAAAGAAATGGGAATAGGAAAAGCAAAAGGAAACGGTCGTGTCGTGGTTGTTGCTAATTATAGACCAGCGGGAAATTTTATTGGTAGCTATTCACAGAATGTCTTTCCTCCTCGTTAGCAGCAGTTTAAACATACCTTTTCTATGGATGTTGTAGGCAGCGATTATACATTTTTTTGTTCTTTTTTCAGTTGTATTGTATATTGAATTTATAGTATTTTTGGTATGGTATATGCATTAAATCAAAGGATTTATTATATATTTTATCAGAACAAACATGTCGTATTAAATTTAGGCTGTTTGGTTGTTTCCAGTTAGTTTAACTAACATCAAGACTTTATAACGAACTACAATTTAAAAATAGCATTACTGTATTTGACGAGTCTCCACTGTCAAATTCTCAATTGTAGGACACTAACTGTCAGATTAGAAAATTCATAGCATTAACAACTTCGAAGGGTAGTCACTATGTTATATTATTTAGTCCAAGATAAACCTACCCTACTTAAATATTATGCCTGTGGTCATTTCGATGTAAGATTTAGTTTGATAAGCAATGGACAAATATTGCGGTTAGTTAGCAAATATGTTTTATTTGTTGCCTAGGAACAAAAAAGAGATAGGTTACAAAATTGTTATTTTTCGAAAAATTTTAATTATCAGTGAGCTTTTTTTATTTGACATTTGCAACATTTACTATAAAGTGTTAAAGATAAGAAAACATAAATTACATTTTCATTGTATTCTTCTTTACTAAATTTGACACATGAAACACTTATTTTCTATCGCATATTGTTTAGCCTGTTTTTGCATTTTGAAAGATATTGTTCTGAAAATATAATATTCGGAGATATGTTTCAGATTAAATTTACTTTCTTCTAAATAAAAAGAGATATGGTTTGTTTTAGTGAGTCTTTCAATGGAACAATTTACTTATAAGGATAACACACTGTTTTCACCAATATACAAGTAGTCAAACAATACACTATGCTCTACATTCCACCGATCCTTATTTGAATTTAAATACTGGAACTCAAAAACACCGAGGTAGATGAAGGAAAAACACATATGATATGACGAAAAACAATCAGGGGTGGGTTTCACAAAAAAACTTACGACTAAGATTGATCGTAAGTATACTGAATTGTTCATGACTTACGATCAATCTTAGTCGTACGTTTTTTTGTGAAACTGACTCCTGTGCCGTAGTTATTTACTTAGCAGGCAAACAAAAACCAATATTGAAGGGTTGAACAATTTTTAACACTCTCTTGCCTTGGGTTTCGAAGGGTGAAAAAAAAAATAACTAAAATAGCCTGGATGAACGTATTAGGAGATAAGTTCAGTTCAAGTTCTTGATTTGATGATGGAATGACGATAACAACAATAGATTAAACGAAACAGACAGTATTTCTGATTTTATAAATGTCCAGTCTAGTCCAATACTTTAGACAAATACATTTATCATCAAATGTTATCATCAATGATGGGATATGATCATGATATGTCTACCTTGTCGACAAATACATTTGCGAAGTGGTAGCGTGAAAAATAGGAACAAAACTTTTATTTTTTTGTACTAATCAATGTACATTTCTGGAATTGCTTAATATAAAGCTTGACCACTTTCTATTTTGCTTTATATTTACTTTGCAAAACAACTACTGGTATGTTGTTTGTAGAAAAAGAAATAGAAATACATTGACGTTGTAAAATTATCCTTTGAGGGTAGGTCATCTAGAAAACAACATGATGCGTCTGACCTGTACACTACGTTCTGTGTGTTTTGGAATTGTCAGTTCGTTTTCGACTTATGAGTTTGAATATCCTTTTGGTATTTTACGCCTGAATTTTCTAATTAAATTTCCTACACTCACAGTTTTGCAATGAATAGTTATGCACTTAAGAGTTAAAAGTTATTGTCAGCATCCTCCCAACATGCAATATTCGTACGAATTGACATGAACGTAAGTATGAATACAATTTATTCTGTCTATGTGTTGTTTTCTTATGCAAACAAATTTTAACAATTTTGAAAAAGATGACAATGAGAAAATCAACTAGTTTAATTAATGATGTCTACATAGTCCAGGTCAGTGCAAAACATGTGGGTTTGATAATAAAAGCACCCAATTAAGCATGGAGGTAGTGCTTGCTGTTTCAAACAATTTTAGCTATAGACCTATTTTGAAATTTCAATATTGAGGCTATTTGCAAGATTGCCACCATACAATATAAAAATAAAAGAATCTCACTTATTTGACAAATGTTTGAGGTTACAAAATGTTTTGTTTTGACGTACTTTCAACAAAAACTAAGTGCCCTAACATATTAAGTTCATGCAACAGTCATAAACTTAAGACAGACCTCAAAAGATTATGTGTGACTATTAAATTTTGAGGGAGGTTAGCTGGTAAATTTATGAAAAAATAATTCTGACTTGTTAAGTGGAAAATAAAAATAGTCCTGCAATATTTCACTGAAAATGAATAATCTGGGCCAAAAATATTCTAAAGGCCAAAATATTTAAAGGATGACAATTTGATTCTAAGTAACACTTTTCTGACTAAAATAGTTATTTACATGTTTCTCAACCATGGAATTCAGCTTTATTATTTTTTTCCATTTTTCCATTTTGCAATTTCCTTAAATAATCTGTTTATCTGGAAAGTATGAATCTTTTAGGATCTATTTGTAATTAATACCAACATTAATGACATGGACACTTTTTTACCAGGTTGTTGCTCATTTGTACGAACCATTACGGTTGATTTCTGTATAGAAAAGTATCGTCTACATTCTTAATATCATGCGATAATAGGACGTCTGTTTGGTAACCTTCGGTCAAAATGAAAACGTAATCTTCAATCAATCTTGTATGAAGAAATATTATATTGTTGTCCTCATACAAAAGAACCCTTGCAACCACTCTTTGAGATATTATCTTTAAAAAAGAAAATGTAATGTTGATAATAATATGTTCAAGTGTAGCACAGTGAGTCAAGAAGTCATTAATGTCAAGAAAATAGAACGGTTCGTTAAAACATGCAATTAGCAAAAAATATTGTAAGGGGTTTTTACACCCCGAAAAAAATTCATTCGAGGAAATCATGGCAGAAAACGCAAGCCGTGGAATATGGTATCAACTGGGAGACTGTTCGAAATGATCATGACCCGGAGCCTGAGCAAGCTGTCCAGTGTTTGTCGTCTCCTATTTGCCGTTTATTGTCATTAGATTAATTCAGCCGTTTTCAGCTCGTTTCAATTGGTTTTGATCTTTTTGTAGTATTATGAGAATGATGACTATTAATGTTTTGGAGGAAGAGGACTAAATCGATATTACATAAGTATATGATCTGAACTGAAAAGCAAAATGTTTGCGCGGTCTTTGTTTAGATACGAAAATAGAATTCTAAGGTCTTAATTTTCCGAATATGGATTTAAATGGCTGGTGATCTGGCATAACTACCCGTCTAGCCACATTCGCTGTTCAAACGGCTCCCCCAGTTAATGTTTTATCTTATCTTAATTTGTTTAATGTAGATGAATTCAGGGTTCTCACTAAGGATTTTTTGAAGGCGAGTCCAGGGACTCGTCATTTTTGGCCATGGTGAGTCCAACAGTAAGAAGAAGATATTTTATTGCAATATAATGTATCATTTTAGTCTCCATGACCTAATAGAGCAATGCAATGACGTTAATTCAGAATATTTTTAATCTTTTGCTATAAAATGATGATTTGTGTGTTCAGTTTATACAAAATATTTCAATCTTAATGCATCATTGGACTCACCAGTTTTGAAAATGGTGAGTCCAGACAGATTTTCATGAGTCCAGGACTCATGGACTCGCCTTAGTAGGAACCCTGTGAATTCAAGTGTTTTAAACATCACTAAACAACTATTGTCACCTATGTGTTATCCCAAGACCTTTAATTTCTTTTATATATAGAAAAGAAAGTGTTCCGCCAAAATCGTCTGATATAAATGGAAAGAGAGAGTATCAGGCTCTCAAAATCATATTTTGACCCTATTTGTAATGTTCTTGTCACGGTCCTTGAACCTGTAGTCTAGTAGTTTTCGTTGATCGTCGTCTGCTATATTTATGGGCCGTTTTTTGATAGGCTTAAATAGCACCGTATTTTTTTTAGTATTGTGAGTCTTATGTACAAAATTATTAACCTGATATCTTTCTTGAGTTTTTTTTTTCAATCACTGGGGCGATGCCACTGCTGATTTTCGTACTCGATCAATAGTGGTGACATGAAATTACATTGATATATTCCTTCTGTTTAAATTTAAAGTCTCTAAAATGTTTGATTAATCGAAGTACTAAGGTTTTTTCTTTCCCCAAACATAAATTGCACAATCCGTATTTAGCGCAACACGTTGTATTTTTTTGTTTTTAATGCTCTTCACCGTCGTCCTATTTATTTGACCTGCCAACTGTTTTGATTCGAGGTCCACTGATGAGTCGCAAGTAGACAAAACGTGAGTCTGGCGTGTAAAGATATAAGAGTGGTTTCTTTGATGAGATTTTACAACCGCTATTTCTGCTAGTGGACGTTTCATACCCGAAGGTATTACCAGCCGAAACAGTCAGCACTATTGTGTTGACATGAAATATCATTGATTTGTTGATTTGCTGTAAATTTACTGTGTTAAATTATTCGAAACACTCAGGTTTTCTACTCCGAGTTATAGATTGCGTCAGCCATATTTGGCGCAATTTGTCGATATTGCTACGTGGTTGTTATTGTTGTTGTTGTTTTTCGTCGTCTGCTATATTTTGTTTGCTATTGGATGTTGTAAGCTTAATTGTTCGGTTTTGAGTATGCTGTATGTCCTTTTTGGTTTTATAAGCTCTTTATTTTTAAGTTTTTATTTTTCAGATTTTTTTGCCTTGAATTCACTGAATAGACATTCATTGTCGGAGATGCATCTGGTGCAGTAAAAGTCGTAAAGTGGAAATAAATATCAAAATACGTTAAATTAAGATTTCATAATTTGACAGAAAAAAAAACACATATTTAAAAAGCTATTAAACTTAGTTATATTCTGTCTTAAAAATGACGAAAATAGCTGTTATTGGGTATTAAGCACGGAATTATCAGTCAATCATCTGTTTAGGCAATTTGACATTCGGATTCAGTCTTTGTTGGTATACAAATATTTTCCAGTAGAGGACAACTTGTAATGCATGTGTTATATTTGAAGGTCAGGTTGTTTACTATGAATCTTTTGTTTTTGTTTTTGTAATGTTTATTCAAATAACAGCAGTTCTACAATGACTATTTTAATGCAATGATTAATTTCCACAAACAAATTCCAGATATAATAACATTTGATCGAGTAAAAAATTTAATCTGATACAAGATGACATGTTTTTATGACTTGACTTTGAATATAATGCTCTTCTCGTGACATTGATATTAGCATAATAATTGTGAAAAAGTTTCAGATATAAACAATAATTAATTAAAAAAAAACTATCTAAGATTATTAGAGGTTAAATAAATCAGAGGTAACAGTAGTAGTGCCTTCCAGATATTTAAATCTGATAGATATATTATGGTTTATCTAAAAGGTAAAGAAGAACATTTAGAATGTGCGTGCGTTAAAACTTGAAGCATGTAATAGGTGATATGCGCACACTGACATGTACTGATATCCGAAATTAAGGGAGAACTTTACCTTGTTTAATTCTTAATCCTTTTCCTTTCACACCGGTACGCTGTACCGTTGAAGCAAATTTAAAGAAATTTGTTTGGCGTTAAGTCTTATTTCATCGACATTCTTTGACGTACAAACGTGGTTAAGGGCTCAAATTATTCCTCAAAATACCAGCGATGTGATTAAATGTGCATCAAACTTCTATCATTATCTGTTTAAACTCTATTTTTTGGCT